GGTTCAGAGCCTGGAGCCTGTTTCACATCCTGTGTCTCCCTCTCCCTCTATCCCTGCCCTGCTCGTGCCCTCTCTCTCTCTCTCAAAAATAAGCAAACGCCAAAAAAAATAAGATAAATTTAAAAAAGAAAGCAAGCAGAATTCATTTTCCCCAGTCCTGGTATTCTGCAAGCAAAGACAGATTCCCAGGACTTACAGAAGCCAGATGAGGCCAGCTACCATTATGTCCACTCACCAGGACTGAAGACTGAGTCTGAGGAATGCCCCCAGTTACACAGAGGGAAGGAAGAAAACTCAACCGAGAACCACCTCTATGGGAATGTGGCCTGGAGCATGAAGGGGTGAGAAAGTCCACCAAGGTCTAGCCTTAGATCTGTCCATAATTATGTGACACGGGGCAAAGCCTTTACTGCTCTCATCCGTAATGGAATTTAAAAATAAAATGAGATGAAAAAAATAAAATCAATAAACTTAAAGTGAAATAAGCAATAAAACTAGCCGCCATGTATTCAGTCACGTGCCCCCTGCTACACATCATCTCATGAACTCCCATAATAGTCCAGAGAAGTTATCCCTTTAGAAACAAAGACCTGGCGGGGGCACCAGGGTGGTTCAGTTCCTTGAGCGTCCATCCAACCCTTATTTCGGCTCAAGTCATGATCTCACAGTTCGTGGGATCAAGCCCCACGTCAGGCTCCAGGCTGCCAGCACAGAGCCTGCTTGGGATTCTCTCCACCCACCCCCAACCGCCACTCTGCTCCTTCGCTGCTCATGCTCTCTCTCAAAATAAGTAGTGAACTTTAAAAACATAAACCGAACACAAAAACAAGGACCCGGGGCTCAGAAAGATCCAAATCACAGCTAATACCTGCTCAGCAGCCGGGCAATCCTGAAAATGCTCTTGTACAAATTAGCTCGTTTACTCCTCACTACACCCTATTAACGTTGGGACTGTTATTATTCTCATTGTCCTGATAAAGAGACGGCACGGAGAGGTTATGAAACTTGTCCAGGTCACACAGCTAGGCAATCTACCTCCAGAGCATGGACTCCCAACCACCCTACAATTCTGCCTAAGGGCACCCAGCCGATCATAAGAGCCAGGGCCAGGACTCGGACCCACGCTGAGTAATTCCAAAGCTCTAAAACAGAAGCCTTCCCACCACATCAGAAGAGAAAAACAGGCAACCAGCGGGCCAAACCCAGGGATCTTACAAATTAGGAATTTTACATTAAAATTCTACACCGTAACTTCTCCTGAAAAATTGGGGGTTCTCAACTCCAGGCTCCCATGTCCACATGGGAACAATGAGGTGGCACTGAGCAGGGGTGAACTCTGGTTCACCAGAGTCCCCAGCACTCCTGTCTACCTTACACCTGGCCAACTTCCTCCACTGCGTCACCTGCCTGCCTCGGAAGGAATCAGGGTTCGCTACCCTGACACCCATATGTTAGCCAAAATTCCTTCCATCGCGGTCTATGACTCTATAATAACGGTAAAATGTGAACTTTACAAAGTTTTTGTAAAGGCCAAGAGAAAAGTTCCAAAAACCCTGGCTGTGAGTTTGCAGGAAGTTAAGAAATCAGGAACACTGGGAATTGCTAGAATCGATTAAAAAGGAGATGTGTGTGTGGCCAGAGGCGGAAGGAAAAGAGTGAGTGGAAATTTATACTGAGGTTGCTCAGAGAGGGTTAGCCACCACGCGAACGCATACAGCACGCAAAGGTCTTGAGCTTCCTTTTACCTGTTCGTAGTTTATGAACATAGCTGTCTCAAAACTGTTAGCTGCCCACTTGAGAAGGTTGGCCGACTGCTCCGGAGTCATGTAAACCAGCACACATTCCGTTATCAGCAGTGTTGGCAATCTTTAGAGAAGAAAAAAGGCACATAAGTATGTATTCATCAAATTGGGACTCTAACGGCAGCCACGGATAGTGCTGGCAGGGCAGGAAA